GTCTTTAGTGAGCTTGTGTGTGTCCCTGAACTTCTTTGTAGTGAGCCTTCTGTTTATACAAGTGAGTGTCTGTAGTAAGCTTGTGTGTGAGTCAGAGAGTTTTGTCTGTCAGTAAGCCTATTTGTGCATGTCAGTGAGCTTGTGTGCTTACTGTACTATATATATATATATATATATATATATATATATATATATTTTGACTTGTAGGAATGGCATATGTTTTTTTCCAGGGCTGCTTTGGATTCCCAGGGATTCCCAGTTTGGCTCTGCCAGCGAGTGCACTTTACCGCTGAATAATCTGTGTGAGCTGCCGCACACTTTAGCCCTGTTACACGGGTCTGGGAGCCTCTGTTGACAGGTACTAGTAGTCTAGAGATTGGGGTATATGCTCAGCTATCTGTATAATACAGATCTGTGTGTATAAAATATCCCGGGATAGTCAGTGCTTCCTGTATAGTGCTGCTCTCTGTCTTGGGATATTATACACAAACATACCTGTATTATACAGAGAACAGCACTATACAGGGAGCACTGACTGTCCCAATTTATTATACACACAACCCTGTATTATACAGAGAGCACTGACTGTCCAGGGATATTATACCCAGACACTAATTGATAGCTGTGCTGCAAAATGTCCTTGGAAATTTTTTTTCAAATGTTGGCAACTATGGCACTGTATCAAGGATAATGTGTTTGTTTTTTTAATAATCCCTGGTGGAAAATAATGAATCCTCCACCAGGTATTATTAAAAAAACTAAACACATTGTGTCGGGGGCGTGGCCTAACATGCGACAGGGGCGGGGTCAAACTGCGACGATGGCGGGGTTAAATGTGCCCCCCTACTTTTGTCACTGGCCCTCCATGTGCCCCCCCGAAAAATGAATCCTAGAGACGCCACTGCAGTTTACGTCGATGTCGCACAAACCATTCTAGTAATATTAACAATGACTGGACTTTTTCCACTGGACCAAGTATATATATATATATACACACTTAAACTGTGATGAAGTGATTCAAGCAATCACGAAACACGCGTAAAGCAGCAATAACTCCCACTCACACTGACAAGGGCAAAAGGTGGAATGCACAGCAGCTCACAGTGGAATGCATGAGAAGAAATTATTCCAGTGGCAAACACAGTATTCAGATCACCCACTCTCTCCCAGAACTGTCAAAGAGGTAAAAGCAAAGTAAGGGACTTACAGACTGATACTTATTCCCCACTAGGCGATGTGCTAACCATACCTGCATCTTATGTGAGTGTGTTTTAACTTTTACTTTAATAAAGTTTTCACAGAGAGCACTATGTCTCTATTCTTATTTTAGATATACCCCACCGTGGGATCCTGAATTCATATCATTATCTGGAATATACGAACATCTCAAAACATAAAGACCTGTCAAGCTGTATTAGTGCTTATGGTACATATTGGACTAATACTATAACAATTCAGTTTATTTAGGAAGTCCACAGACTTTTCACCATAGATGGGGTAACTTCGATATAATTTTATCAAGCTGAGACATTGTTCCAACACAGAGACGGTAATTAATTGACTCTCTCGGGAACTACCTTAGAGTGGAGAACTTTGGACATTTTGATACTGTTCCAAACTATTGCCAATCTTTTTTTCCTACTATTCATTTTGATTTTTATGATTTGTTAAATCACTATTGCACTTTGAACATACAGGCATTTCGTGGATATTCCATTTTTTTCTTTCTAAACTGTCAGTATTCTATTATACCACCTATCTCCTATTCCTGGTTGCTTCAATAACAGTGTTCTTTGCTATTTCAATCATATATACTTCCATGCTTACGCATATGCATATATAAAGTAATTATGGGCTCAGGTATTTTAACCTATCAGTAAATATGTTAGCCCATGTACTAAATGTTGCTGTTACCATGGTTACTGGGTAGCCTGTCCACCTATCTATATACTGCTGTTGATTTTTACTTTTGGAGAAACAGACAAATGAACGGCAAGATAGAAACACAGACACATAGCACAAAACACAATTTTTGTCCTCATCCCAACACATCACCACCTCATCATTTTTACGTCATTATTGAAAATAGAGTTTGGAAACATTTACACATTTAACTAGTAAATATCACAAAATGTTCTATCATACGGTGAAAACGATTATGTTAGCAAAGATTCCCTTTCATTCTTAATCCGTTACGACCTACTCAGGGACGGAAAAGTTTAATAACTCGGTGAATACAGAGCAGGCGATATAGAGTCTGCAATCGGGCTCACTTTTACATTATGTGAGTCTATACACTTGAGACCTAATGCACTTGAAAAGAGTGAAATTCAAACTGCTTAGAAAATGGTGTTCCCAATATGATAAAATGTCTTCAGTGTTTTTGGCTCGCCACGGTCATACAAATGAAGTTACTTTGATTCTCAGCATTTATTACACGTGTGTTTGCATGCTAGATCAGGACTTATTTGATCTAAAGCCTTAATAGCAATGACAGCTTCTCGAGAGCTTATCAACGCAGCTAAGGCATCCTGATCTGATTGAATATGTCAGGGTAAAGGCTGGGAGCATTTAGGGTTTATATCGTATTCCCTTTGAAAAATTCTCAGGTCATATAGTATGCTGAAGCTGGATGATTTACATAGCACGGTAAACATGAATTTTAACCAGGATTCTTTTTTTTCTTGTAAGGAGATTTATGTTCTCC